TTCCAAAATAGAACTTCAACTTAACATAGGACTCCAATAGCATTCCAAACTGAATTCTCATTTACAACACTTCAATTAGAATTTTTCAATTATTTCAACAAGAAATTTAGGCCACACCCAAATTCTAACAATTTCCACCTTGACACGAATTTCACCAAGGAATGAACTCGCTCTTCGACAATAACCAAAACTGATTTCTCCAACCAAACACAAAATACTCTACATCTTCCAATGAATCCAAACACTACTCTGCAAAATTACCTCAGATTCCCAAAAACCATAACGATTTTATAATTTACCAAAATAAGCTGTAACACACCCCAAAACAGAATCAAACTTAAATACTTTTAAAAAATGCCCATTGCTAAAGTGTACACTTTCTACTCCACTTAAAGCATGTTCAACAAAATCAGCATCCACATACCATTTTCCACTGGGTCCGTCCCTAGAAACTGAATACAATGGCATCGCATGTGATGGTAGCAAAGCTACATTATCCATATCTCCTGAACTCCACTGAGTAGTATTCTTCAAATCCGACCATTTACGAGCTCCTAAAGGTATTGTACCAAACTGAATGTCCACCACAATACTGAACTTGTGCTGATTAACTCTTCTAAATTTTGCACAACCCTGCAAGATGTATAACTGAGACATTTTATGTTCCTCCAATACAATTTGGGCACCCTTACAAACCTTCAAATCTCCACCTCCACCAAAGAACTCATAACCTTTTGAATCAAGGATAGACAACAAGATGAGATTTTTCTTCAAATTTGGAACATGTCGACATAGTCAAGTGTTCTAATTATCCCATCCAAAAGTTTTAATATGACTTTACCAATTTTAGCAACTCGACAAGATGCTTTGTTTCCCATAACCACAACACATTTGAAAACAGTTTCATATGTAGCAAACAAGTCCTTATTAGGACACATATGAAACACACATGCTGAATCAAGAATCCAATCATCTTCCGATTTAGATTTAATATCAGAAATAACTAAAAGATCTCCAACACTTACATTGTTCTCCGTGATGTCTGTTTCGCTTGAAGTATCTGAATATCTACTTGCAACCATCCTTTCTTTATTCTGCAATTTGTAGCAATCCTTCTTTAAGTGCCCCTTCTTCTTGCAATTGTTACAAATTTGATTACTGAACTTAGATTTCGATCTGCCTCTTCCAGAACCACCATGAGCAATCAGGCCTTCTCCATCTCTGGCCTAAAAACCATATGTTTCATCTTCTCTTTTGAATACAAAACATCATACATCTTCTCTATGGTAAGAGTATCACGACTATACAAGATCGTGTCTCTAAATTAAGAAAACGAAACGGGCAACAAACACAATATGATCAAGGTCAAATCA